TTTTTGGTGTCTTATAAACTATACAGAACACGCTTGTATTTAATTATTCTATTAATGAAATGGATGTTGTTGCTTGTTTACTATTATGCTTTGTTGTGATACTGTACATGACGTCCTTCGCCCCATAACGTTTCCGCCGTTCCGGTTTTGGGGCGACAGCCTCTAACCCTAATCTCGAAACCATAAAGCCTTTTTGAGTGTTGTGTGCTCTTTGTGAGTGTGTTTTGGTGTGTTTGAAGCCCTTGGATGAAAGTGAAACTTGGTGCAAGGTGGTGATTCAAGTAGGAGCCTTCAAGATCTCGATATTTTGCACCATTTCCAGCATATTTCGGGTATAAAGCTCTAACCTTGGTCAATATTTGATTAGATCTCCTTTTAGGTTAGTTTTGATGCTTATAGCCATGTTTGGGTGATTGGTAGGGTTGAAGAACGTCCCAAGTGCTATTCTTCCAGATCTATGGTCCTCTTGAGCTCTTTTGGCATAAAGGTGCCAACTTTGTGGTCTTAAGGGCTCCATGCATTCCTTGAGTCCATCTTATAGCTTCTTTTGAGCATTTTAGCTTCTTCTATGCATACTTGAAGGTAAAGTTGGAAACTTTACATGGTATTTTAGCTCTTAGGGCCAGATCTACAGTTTGGGGTTATGCATTTGTTGATTAAGTGGTTAATGATTAAGTTCTTACCCTTGTAATCCTAGGGTTTGGGTTTTGAACCCATTTTGGTGGTTCTTAGGGGTAAAGTTGGAAACTTTACCCTTCTTGAGGCTATTTCAGTTACGATGTAAGTCATGAAGCTCTTACTTTCATTAAGGAAGGCTTAATGGATTAAGATGTTGAATTTCTGGTGAACTCGACGAGTTCATAGAGGAACTTGGTGAGTTGGATCGATTTCTCCCGACTTTGCAGATCTGATAGGTAAACTCGACGAGTTCATGGATGAACTCGGCGAGTTAAGTCAACTCGGAATGTTGACTTTGACTTTGACTTTCGTCTTTGACCAAGTTTGACCTTTAAGGGGCTTCTGGGCATTTTATGCTGAACTTAAGGAAATCATTTATGCTTCTGGGATTCTGGGCATTTTATGCTGAACTTAAGGAAATCAACTACCTTTCTTTATTCGAGGTGAGTTTCCTTACCGGGTTTAGCGGGTCGAAGGCACCAAGACCGGCCCATGTTTATATTATGTTGTTAGTATGCTAGTTGTCTTTGTGACACTTGCATGTGGGTAGCACCCGATTCCTGGTACGTATTTAATTTCAAAAGGTATTGCAATTTACTCTGGGACTCGGCGAGTTAGAGGCCTAACTCGTCGAGTAGACTCGACTTATGATCGGGGGTTTAAGTGACCTACTTGACGAGTAGGAGCTGTCTGGACAAAACCCTAATATTTAGGGTTTGCACCCTATTTAAACACTTTATCTCGTCCCAAACCAGCCTCCATCACCCTCCCAACTCAGAGAGACCCTAGATTGAAACCCTAAACCCTTTTTGAGTGATTTTGAGCCCTTTGTTCCATTTTGTGCAAGTTAGAAGGTTGGAGAGAAGAAGAAGGAGCTTGGGATTTGCAGAAAGAGCAAGGAGATCTAGAGGCTTTGCTTCATTTCCTGATTATTGGAGGTAAAAAGTCCAGACCTTGCTTCTTCTTTCATTAGATACTCTTTTTGGAGTAACCTAGGGTTTTTGGAAGCCATTTTGGAGCCATGATTGGATGCAACCATGATTTTGGGATAAGGACTTCAGATCTGGAACCATTGAAGGTTCCCATGCCATAAAGGTGCCAACTTTATGGCCATGGGAGACCCATGCATCTTATAAGCACTTTGTATGGCTTTTTGAGCCAAAGGCCCCATGCATGTACACCAAGTTTGAAGCTTTACGTATAATATGGAACCTAGGAGGCCAGATCTATGGTTTTGACGCATTAAGACCAAGTATAATCGACTGTATAGTTTTGGACAAAGAGGGACTCGGCGAATCACTTGGGTGACTCGGCGAGTCGGGACGCTTTTCCCCCCAAAATGACTTCTGGAAATGGTTTTGAATGAGGGGAAGGAACACTCAGCCTGCTAGGGGTTGTCTTGAACCTATAAATCATAGGACTCGGCGAGTCCAAGGCAATCTATCAACTCATGAAGACGGAATCAACGAGTTTTCATAGAACTCGGCGAGTCATAGAATGGACACATTCATATGATGAAGATGAACTCGACGAGTTCAAGGATGAACTCGGCGAGTCGGTTGAAGATGGTCCCGATGCTATGGTTGAAGGTGAACTGGTCGAGTTACTTGCTAGACTCGACGAGTAGGGTCGGGGGTTGTATCATTTTGAAAGAATAGGGAATCGACGAGTTGGTGGACCAACTCGGCGAGTCAAGTCAACCGGATGTTGACTTTGACCAGGATTTGACCTTGACCTTGACTTGGATTTGGGTTGACCCTTGTAAGGGTTATGAGTATGCATTAGTAATCGGAAAAGGCTGTTGTATAGGTATTGAGGAGTAGAGACGAGTCGATTCCCGTGCCGAGGACTGTGCAGATACTACACGACATCGAGGTGAGTTACCTTCCAGTAGGAGTGGGTCTACGGCCACAATGCCTACCCACTAGTAGGAGTTGTTTGTTAGATGATTGTGTTTGTGATAATTATCTGGTGTGGTTATCTGATATCCTTTATGTGCTAGGATGCTATGATATATGTGTTAGTAGTGGTAGGGGTGATATAGCCCTAGTTACCGGTTGAAAGATACCGAAGGGGTACATAGTACCCATTTATGCCTAGCAGTATGATCATGATGTGTTATAATGCGACCAGTATGCTTATGATATGTTAATATGTGATTGTATAGGGGTGAAACAGTCCCCAATTACCGGTTGGAAGATACCAAAGAGGAGGTTAGCTCCCGGTTATCGGTTGAAAGATACCGAAGGGGAGGTTCGCTCCCGGTTACCGGTTGAAAGATACCGAAGGGGAGGTTAGTTCCTGGCTACTGGTTGAAAGATACCGAAGGGGAGCCCAGCTCCCAGTTATGCCAGACAGATACCGGTTGAAAGATACTGAAGGATAGGCATTATGTGGTATGTGGTATGATGGGGGAACTCACTAAGCTTTGTGCTTACAGTTTCAGTTTTGGTTTCAGGTACCTCTTCATCCAAGGGGAAGGAGACGACGGTGTAGCAGTGCATCACACACACGCACATGGTTTCCGCAATGAGTTTTCTGGGATTGTACTCTGATTTATATTACTGTTGATGTTTTGATCTTGAGACATGTTCATGATGGTTTATGATATGGTATTGACAATGTTTTCAGTAAACGATTTTAAAATGTTACTTAATTACGAACAATTTTTTTGGACTCGAAATTTGGGATGTTACAAGTTTGTATCAGAGCCTTGGTTTGAGGGATTCGGACACACACCCTCGGGGTGTCGGGACTCAAATCGAGGGCTTGAAAGATTTTTACAAGAAAATAGTTTTCTAAAATCTAAGTTAAGGAATTTTGAGAAAGGACAAGGTGTGTGATGCGTGCGACCGGCCGAGCTCACACTACTAGAAAAAGAGCCTTTTACGACGCGCAATGCGTGTCGTAAAACGCTCAGAAGACGCGTAAATGCGCGTCAAGGAAGGCCCTGTCATAACGAGAGACGACAGGCTTTTGCACGTCGTCTATAGACGACACGCTTTTGCGCGTCGTATATAGACGACGCGCATTTACGACGCACATTTATGACATGCAATGCGTATCATTAAAACCCATGTCAAGAAAGGTCATGTCATAAATGAAGATGACACACATTTTTGCGTATCGGAAATTAAAATGTTTAAAAAATATATTTATATATTTATTAATTTTTAAATTAAATGTGCATTTCATGTCTCATAATAAAAATAAAATACCATATAACAAAAATACAATCCATTGCATAAAATTTAATGTCATACAATTCTATTTCTTATGATATATAAATTTGCATTCATCTAATCTAATGTGTGTTTCATACTAACAATTGAAATGAAGAATGCAACACTTGCATTTACAGCATCTTATCTCTTTCAGCTTGAGCTTTCTTTTCCTCTTCTAACCCCAGAGCTATTCGCTTTCATCAACCCTGTAAACACAACACAAAATCACTTGTCATTTTCATTCTACTTTTTAAATTAATTCTTATTAGGACATTCTACTTTTAAACCTACCAATATAGCACATTTTTCAAAGAATATAATTTATAATTTTTTTATGGAATGTACATTGCTATTTCTTAAATACAAGATGTTACAAATCAAGAAACTTACATGGACTGCTGACCACTAGTTTCCTGCATCATCTGAGTATATATGTACTCATCAACTCTCTGCTTTGCCAAAGCAACCTATTTCACATCAAATTAAAACTGATTTTAATCAAATTTGTATTATAAAAATATTAATCTTATTTTGATAACTAAAAGTTGCAGTTTTTTTAAAGGAATCACCAACCTGCTGAGCACTACCACCCAAGTGAATTTGTCTATGTTTCTTTTCCCCTTTCCCACCATGAACCTGCAAGACATGAGACATCTAATAAATAAAATTTAAAACAAATTTTGATTTTTTTTTCCTTTCAGTAACGATTAACATTTAACAAAAAAAACAAAAGTGTTGTTTTTTTTCCTAAAATCTCTAGTCATTTTTCTAAATAACTTGCACAAAAAATATCTAAAAACAAAACCTTGAAAGTTCTCCTGACTCTGTTCTGATCCGAGATATGTTTGAGCCACATCTCCCAATTAATCCACCAATAAATGTCTCAGAAATCATCATCACTAGAGTTACATATTCAGCTGAAAGGTAAATAAAAAAGTGTATATATACACATCAATGATATGATAATAATAATAATAATAATAATAATAATAATAATAATAATAATAATATTATAAAAAAAATTACTTATAATATAATGAGACAAGATATTTACCAGGTAAAATATTTCAACTCTTGTCTGTGGTGCTACGGTCCCTATGATTGTTTGCAAATAATTGTGTATGGTGATGTTTTTGCACAACAATACAAGTCACTGGTGGTTGGTAATTTGGTTCTAAAGATGTACAAGCATGTAGTCATAAATTAACCCTAAGTTAGTTACCATATTGATATCATGTGCATTGCTATTATTGGTTAAAAGAGAAAATATTTATACACCGACCTTACGAATAGCATCGAATTCATACAGTAACACTTGATAGAATTGTCTTTCACTCACTCCATCCCTGTTCAAATTTCAAAACATCAAAAAGAATGTTTGAAAAATACTTGAGAAAATGACAACACACTTGGAAAATGGAAAATGAGGGTAAAAAATTAGGTCTTAGTGGGGAAAGTCTTTTTTCTTTCGTTCTTTCTGCTTGAAGTCAAAGAAACACCTGTATATAGCTTACCGGATTAAGTCATAAGCTATATATGAGTGTTTCTCTATGACTTGATAAAAAAATTGACTTAATGGAAAAAGTTTGGGAAACGAGGCTTTACCCATTGTATATTTATTGTTTTTTCTCAAGTATGAATGATTTATCCAAACAGCATTGCAAAGATGGATGAAAGTTTTGGTTACCTGTAAAATATGATCCGTAGGGGTTTCTGTCCTAATAATAAGAAAAGCAAAAACAATATGAACATAAGAAATAGAATGAAGAACAAAAATTATGTTAAACATTATATATTCATACCCAACGCCTATCTTAGCAAACTTGATTTGGAACACCTGTACAATAAAATATAAATTATCAAAAGACTAAATGACTATCTTACCCTTATTAGACTAACTAGCATTGTAATATTTTGTAATTATCTTTTTATATTTGGTAGGGTTCAATCCCATTTCGATTTCAGATTCTTCATACGTCTCCTATATATACATCTATAATGGAATGCAAAGGGCAGGCAGTTTAATACCAAACTTTAAAAAGGAAAACCAAGCTTTAAGCTAAGACTGGAAAATGAATCGTGGTGTAATTGTGAAAGAATATCATGTATCTATTTGTATTGTGGCTTATAACATTCAGCTGCCATCTTCCCATTAAAACGCCAGTAATATGTGCAGTAGTTATACATCATGTGGTTATCTCTAACCAATTTGAGATTGACCTGCTGATTCGAACTCAGTTTCTTGTAGACATTGGAGGTCCACCAGTTAGCTGGGGTAGGGGTAGGTACGCAGGTCCAGTCGATTTTGACCAGCCCACCTCTTGTTTCCCAGTTATCTCCATTCCAGAAACTAGAATAGACTTTCATTCCTTATTGGTCTGGGAACCCAATTCCTTCGCTTCTGTAGTTTCTGAAAACCATAATGGGTATACTATCAACATAGCACCTGCATTTATTGTCATGATCTAAGTATTTATTGCAAAAACTAAGTTAATTAAGGGGTGCTTATTTTAGTAAACTTACACTACTGCGTTAGGGTTCCAGTGAATGGTATAGTTGTGGAAATCGACAGTTGGATCAAACCAAAAGTTGAACTCCTGCTCCATATTTGCTTTTCCTTGGAGAAAGATGTTTGTGTGCATGATGTAAGGTTGTCCTGATGAGCTTCCTAAGAACTCAAAGTGGGTCTCATCATGATAGTTTCCAACAGACGAAAGCTGCAATGATTCCACATAAAAGAGTGAACATGTTAAGTATGTGCATGGTGTACTTTCAACTTTTTATTCTTATTAACGAACATACATAAAATGTTGTGACAGTTCCCGCAGAGTTTCCTGGAACCAACTTGATTAGCATCTCAACGCTCCAAAAAAGAATGTGTTTTGTGATTGAACACCAGATCCTGTAATTGGAGTTAGATCAGCAATCATTGTATAAATTATGCTACTAGCAGGAGAAAGTTAGAATTGGGGTTTCACTTTTTAAGAATCAAATAGATTTGCATTGAGTGTTTCCAAAATAAAAAAAAAAAAAGTAAATATGATAGTGAAGATGCATGATATGTACCTGAAACATGATCCAGAACCAGATTAAGATCACCATTGCTAAAATTGTATGAATGCTTGGCACCCCAGTTGAAGGGCATGTCATTGTAAGAGTTTCCATGGACAAGGCATGGTTGGTAAGCAGTTAGTGAGATAAATGAAACTGCAACCAAAGCCTGGAAGCTTCTCATCTCAACTAAGAAGAATGTAATCATGTATTATGATTTTCTACTTTTATATGTAGTTTCAAGCGATGGAAATTCCAGTTCAACTACAACCATTCCTATGTACACAAAACTAACTCTTTAATTTTTCCCTGAAAAGGGGAAGTGTTACAATTAATAAATAAAATAAAAAAAGAATACCTTGGTGAAAACAAACAGAAGCAAAGTTCCCATTTCTTTGAAGAAAGCTACTAAGTGAAGCGGAATTGCATATTCCCAAAGCTCTATTCCATATTGATTCCAATGCCGATTTATCTTTAAGCTTTTCTGATTCATAAATATTATGCTCACATTGAGACCCTACAAGATGCTTTATGCTCTCATCAGCAGAAGAAAGGCGACAACAACCACCACTATCTGTTAGGCAAGTTAGGCATTGTAAATGTAAGAGTTAAAATTATATACTTGTTGTATAAGAGTAAGAAAAGAAAAGGTAACAGTTAACATGAAGTAAGAAAATATATATTTTTTGATATATACTTCTCTTTTGTTGGCTGGATGTAGTACAAGGTGGTTGTTTATAATACCTTCCAATTTGATTTTGAATCTGGTCTTCTTGCTGTTCTCAGCATTTCATACAATTGTTAGATTAGTGTCTAAGCCTATAACTATATTTGGTAAGTATTTGACCCGTTTGTGCATTGTCCTTTTGGGTTGCCTTCACCATAGCAACTTGACAAGGTGATTTATGAAGAGAGAGATGATATTATTATATTAATATATTATGAGAATAATATATTAAAGGAATAATAATATTATTTGATTAATATTAGTCATAGATTAATTAGGAATTAATTTGGTGACTAAAAGAGGTTAATTGAATAAAAGGACTTAAACTGTCAAATGTGTGATAGTTATGTTTTTGGGCTATGAATCCTTATAGATAATAGGGTGGTTGAATTTAGGGTTATGGTATCCTTGAATTCGCCCAAGCCTTAATCTAGAAGGATCCTTTGGATTGTTTAAGGCCTAAGTTATTCAATTAGGGTTAAGGATGTAACCCTAGTAGCTCATAGTATAAAAGGACCCCATGGGTTGGGGAAATCGGCCACCTTGCTTCCTTGGGAACCCTAGAGCCGATTTCCACACCTCTCTCCTCTCTCCAAATCATCCTCTTGCTAGTTGGTGTTTGTAAGCCATTAGAGGAGTGACAATTGTGACTCTAAGCTCCAAGAACAAGAAGATTCAAGCAAGCAACTTAAGGTATTCATCTAGATCTGATTTCATATGTTATGATTCCATTGTAATCACTAGATTTAGCATTGTAAGCCTTGGATACATTGCATGTTCAATTAGAGAAACCTAGATCCAAGCATTAGGGTTTGCATGTGCACATAGGAAAGTTCTTATGGCTCAAACGCATCAGTGGTATCAGAGCTTTGATTGATTTCTATTAAATTGATGCATTGTTTGATTGTTCTTGCATTGAAAAAAATCGTTTTTCTGCCTTCTGACTGACAGACTCGGCGAGTCCCATTGTGGACTCGGCGAGTAGGATGAACTCGGCGAGTCCATAATTGTGACATCCCCTAATTTCTCAGGCAGAAAAGACCGATTTAATTTATGATTTTTAAAATAAAATCAGAGAAATCTTTTCAAAAGATATTGCGGAATAGGTCCCCAATATAAAACATGATAATGTTTATCAAAACCTTTCTTTAAGAAATATATAATTTCCTTTTATATTAAAACCTCGGGATGTTATGTTCCGATACAGATCAAAAGCATAAACAAGACATTATAAGCCTTACAACAGTTATTTATAACTACTGGCCTATAATCCATAAATCACTCATCATCATCATCCGACTATGCTCGTGGTCCACTACCTGTAATCATAAAAAGCTGAGTGGGTCAGGCTTGGAAGCCTGGTCAGCATATAGGCTTTTCAACCCACAATAAATAAATTTATTGTACTTAAACATCAATCAATCAACCAAATTACCCCAACCCCATTATCTTATTTATTTCTTAAGGGTTTACCCTAAGAATCAACTATCACTCCTTCCTAAGGAATAAACACAAGGTCACACCATCACCAGGGTTTATACAACAGGGGCTAAATTAATAGCTCTTATTTATTGACAGTATTATTGACAGTATTCACCCCTGTCATACATGTCAATGGGTTTTTAGAGTACTCCAAATGAACATATACTTCATTACACCTACAGGTTGCGGGCCTGATAGTGTTCCACAGACCATTTAGAATAGTCCATGGTTGTCATCCCTACTCTCCTGAATGACGGGGGGCAACATTTTGGGTAAGTGATTCTCTCAAATTTCACCACTCACCCTCAACTCACGATCAATATTACTGATCATCTCCTTTATCCAACTCACCTATCATCACACACCCATTATATCATCTATCCATGTTTTACCCAACATTTTTGTAGATAAAAATACATATACAGTTTAAATTATTTAAAAACATGTATAAATCACACCTTCAACATCCAACTCAAATAAACAAACAATAAATATTCACACAACACGTATTTTATGTAAAATACTTCATATCTATGTGTAAGGTGAAAGTACTACACACTCACCTGATTTAATGAAAATCGGGCAGCAATTCGTTTCCTAAAACGATCGTTTCTAATAAAACCGGGAGTTTTATTGAGAAACCGGGCTCTACGAAGGGTCGGGCTTCGAAACCGAAAAGATAAATTTTCCGGGCTTCACGGGCACTTCGTCGCGTATTCTGGGGGTTATAATCGATACCGGGGCTTCGGGGGAAGTTAGAATGAAAGAAATATGGGTTTAGGGGCTAAAATTGACAAGTTTTCAAAATATCCCCTGGAGGTCTCGCACCCTTCTATTTATAGGGGCGAGCCTCCTGATCCAACGGCTGAGAAGCCTCCAGCTGTGCTGATCCGAGGACTCACAGGGGATGGCTCGCTCATGGCTCGCACATGGCTCGCACCTGCGAAGGCTTGCTGGCAGCTCCTTACTGGACCGAGGTCTAGGGTCCGAAGTAGAGGCATCGTGGCATGCTGCGAGGGTTCGGTCTCGTACAAGAAGGTACATGTCGCACCGCTATTAGACCACTTCAGATCAGATCAGGTGCTCGGATGACTCAGCAGCTCGGACACGTGGCTCGCCTGACTCACCCATTTCGGACACGTGGCACGTTCTAAGCGAGGGTGACGTGGCAAATCGTGACTATGCGAATTTTCTCGGTTTTTATGCAAAAACTTCTAAAATCCATAACTTTCGCATACGAGCTCCGTTTTTGACGTTCTTTATATGCACGCGTAGGTAAAATTACGCTCTACAACTTCCGTTTAGACTTCGTCGGCTAATTTTGAATCTAATTTTTATATTATTATTTTTAACAAACCGGGACAGGAATTCCGTTAAAAATTCATAACTTCTTCATCCGACGTCCGTTTTCGTCAGACTTTTTACCGTTGTGCTACTATTTACGAGACCTTCGATTCTCGTTTAGGTCGTGTCGGCTAAAAATCACTCGATCTAAAATTCGAGTTTTTAGCTGTCTACTGCTAAGCTGAAACTTCGAAAAATCATAACTTCCTCATACGAAGTCAGATTTGGGCATTCTTGTTATAGCTACTCTCGGTTTAACGAACACTACAAGTTTCGTTTAGATTAGTAAGGCTAAAAAGTAGTTTATCAAAAACTCACTTTTTACGACATTCGGCACCGTGCCGGTTTGTTACGAAACTTCGACAGGTCATAACTTCTTCGTTATAACTCGGATTTCGGCATTCTTTATATATCTGTAATCCTTGTCACGCCCACCACAAGTTTCTTAATAGATATCGGCTTTATCTAAAATTTAATTTTTGACGCTCATTTTTATTCTTAATTATTTAAACCCTAATAATTAAGCATAAAACACATAAAACATATAATATTCACATAATTCCTTTTCATTTCTCCAAAATGAGTCACAAAGGTTAACCTATACCATTATGTCAATATTAATGCCTAGCCTAGAAACACGGGCGTTACAACTCTCTCCCCCTTAGGATGATTCCGTCCCCGGAATCACACAACGACAAACAACTACGGGTAGCGACTCACCATGTCACTCTCCGTTTCCCAGGTGAGATTTGGCCCATTTATATGTTTCCAACGCACAAGCACTAAATCGACTATCTTACGTTACAACTTCTTAGTCTTACGGTCAACGATTGCTTCAGGTTCTCCAATTAACCTCTTGCTCTCATCCAACCTTAATTCAGAAATGAGAATTATGTCGGGCACACCTCCCGTGAACTTCCTCAAATAACACACATGAAATGTGTTATGAATACCCTCCAGTTCTTCCGGTAATTCTAGCTTGTAAGCTTGTTTCCGATCCTCCGAAGAACTTTAAATGGTCCAATAAACCTTGGACTCAACTTTCCCCTTCTACCAAACCTTATAAGTCCCTTCCATGATGAGACTTTAAGTAAAACCGAATCTCCAACTTCGAATGATATCGGTTGTCTTTTCTTGTCAGCATAGCTCTTTTGAGCAGCTAACATCCTTTCCCTAATCACTTTCAACTTTCCAGCAGTCTGATGGACTATTTCAAGTCCCATAAGCTGCTTTTCCCCAGCTTCCAGTCACC